AAAAAACCTGTAGCAGATGCCGGAATCACAACAGTTGCTAATATTTTTTCCATGTGGGTCAAACAGGATGACAAGAGGAAATTTAACTTGGTGTGTAATTCCTTCCTTCCTTCCTTCCTTCCTTCCTTCCTTCCTTCCTTCCTTCCTTCCTTCCTTCCTTCCTTCCTCCCTCCCTCCCTCCCTCCCTCCCTCCCTCCCTCCATCAAATTAAATCCTAAAGTAACTTTTAGTGACCAATACATCAGTGACAAAGATTGCCTGTCCACCTGACTGTCCATCTTTCCCCATTCATAGGTTTCTTTTTATTCCCAGCACCCACACACATCTTGAGACTGACACCATCTGAATAAACCTGGTATGTTAAAGAAAAGGAGGCTAGAAGCATTGAGGAGGTGGAGGGCAGATAGGCCAGTGATGTCTAAAGCTGATTTTCTTTGTGCTAAAGAGCTTGGAGAAACTGTGATCACCACAACCAAAATAGTCTCTCCCTTTATATGTGTGATATCCGGGTTGGTGCATTTATGACCATTAGGGGAGGCAAGGAGCAGGTTCAAAAGTCCATCCCAAGCAGTCTATATAAGAAGGTATTCTGGTCACCTGCCCTTCCACTTGCTCAGTGGAGGCGAGAGAGAACAGACTAATTCTATCAGCATAGGTGAAGCATTTTTAGGAAGGTGAGCATCCAACCAAACAATGGGAAATAAGAAAAGCGGGATGATCTCCAAGGAGATCCTTGATGATCTGAAATTGAACACAAAGTACTCAGAGGATGAGCTGGTCAAATGGTATGACGCCTTCAAAAAACAATGCCCTGATGGGCGTATTGGTAAAGCTGACTTTGAAAAGATCTATGCCAATTTCTTCCCCAACTCTGACCCCAAGGTCTATGCTCGGCATGTCTTCCGAAGCTTTGACACCAATGACGATGGGACTCTTGACTTCCGGGAGTACATCATCGCATTGCATCTCACCTCATCTGGCAAGACTGACCTTAAGCTGGAATGGGCTTTCTCGCTTTTCGATGTAGACCGCAGTGGAGAGATCAGCAAGAACGAAGTTCTTGAGATCATTGCCGTGAGTGTTGAGAACATTTGGGGAAGTGGAGGTGGTGCTCTATGGAAGGGACAGGGAGTTGGGAGGAATTCAGGACAACCCTTAAAGTAATGAAAATGTCTTCTTGCACAATACAGGTAGTCCTTGACTTGCAACAGTTCACTTAGTGACCATTCAAAGTTACAATGGCATTGAAAAAAGTGACTTATGACCATTTTTCAAACTTATGACCATTGCAGCATCCCCATGGTTCCGTGATTTACATTCGGATGCTTGACAACTGACTCATGACAGTTGCAGTGTCCTGGGGTCATATGATCCTTTATGCAACCTTCTGACAAGCAAAGTCAAGGGGGAAGCCAGATTCACTTAACAACTGTGTTACTAATTTAACAACTGCAGTGATTCACTTAACAAATGTGTCAAGAAAAGTTGTAAAGTGGGGCAAAGTTCACTTAACTAAATTTCTCACTTAGCAGCATAAATTTTAGGCTCAATTGTGGTCTTAAGTCGAGGACTACCCGTAATACAGTGATAACTAACTGTGGATGTTCATACTTAATGGTTTTGGTGAGGAAAGCTTGTGGAAAAAGCTTATTTCCCTCCTGTTACTGTCTGGTCTCTCTGAAACTTGCATTGTTTTCCCTTGAATTGCATCCTTTAGAATAAGCCTCCTTTTGTAGATGGAAACTTGTAAAATCAAATTCTTTCCATTCAAGTATGTGGTCCTGTTCAACTTAACTGAGTCTCAGGTCTCATCCTGCCTGGACCAGCTCAAGGCATGCAAACTACCATTCTTATGAGAGGCTGGATCACTTGCCAAAATAAAGACAGTTGTAGTCATCGAGAGGGAATAATGGCTAATGGTTGTGTGACTTTCTCAATCCACTTCTAGAAGATGGTAAATTAATGGATACTTGTCTCCTGTACCCAAATGGATTACCCTTCCCAAATGCGGAGAGGTGAAACTGATTGTGCTTATTTAATAGGATGAGCACAATTCTTACAATAGAAATAGTTCTAAATACCTCATAATTTTCCCTCTTGGGTGTCAACCAACTTCTACCCACTCCTTTTTCAGAGAAAAGGTTTATCTTTTTAAAGAAAAAGAAAGTCATTTAAATTCTACTTTTCCAGTTTCTAGATTCCCCTCCCAATTGTGCGCGACAAACCACAGAAGGACAAAGCAAAGATTAATATTGGACTAGGTGAACCTAAGGCTCAGATACTTTCCGTACAGTATTTGTGAAGTCCTTTCAATTTTGTTATTCCACCCAGAGGAGTAAATTCCTCTGATTTTGAGAAGATGAAGGCATGAAAAATACATAGACCATGTTGGTTTTTCAGATCCAGGCAAAGACCTAATTATTTTTACTATTATTTTTAAAAGAGAGGAGAAACAAAGAGAACAGTGGTAAATTAAAAAATAGACCAATATATGGAAAAATTGCTATAGTTAGTCCTCATTTAGCAACCACAATTAGGACTAGCAACTCAGTTATTTAGCAAAATGGTCACTAAGTGAAACCACAACTGTGCTTATGATCTTATTTCAAGCTATCCTTTGCTTTGCTGACCTGTAAAAGTCATAAATGTGAAGACTTGTGGCAAAGTTATTTTTTCAGCACCATTGCAATCGTGAATGGTTGCTAAATGAGGCAGTTGCTAAATATTATTCCTATTTTAAACATGCTATATTGTTTATTCTTAAAGAAGAGGAACTATATTTCCTGGCTTTGGTAATCCCTGCAACAAATTGATGAGATAAGTAACAAATATTTCCATTACATAACTTGGGACAGAGAGACTAACTACAAGGGAACATTCTGTGATCAAAGTTATTGTATCAAATCCTAAATGGAGCTGAGATTTATATTAATTCTCAGGCTCATATTTCTCATCCAATGTTCTTCCGGGGTACAGTTTAAAAATATATAAATTGGGGGGGGGGGGGGGGCAATTAACTATATAGCTCTGTCACCTTCCTGAAGCCAAGCCTAAAGTGCATTAAAATAACACATTCTAGAATGATTTTCACTTAAAGGGGGAAAAGCCTACTAAGTAGAATTAATATGCAAGTCCAGTTTCTTCCCAGTTGTGAGAATTTTCTACTTCAAGGAAAAAGTTTTGTACATATTATTTCAGAGTTGTGTATATAGCTGTGCTCTCGAGTGCTAAACTGAAATGCAAGACACTGATGCAGTTACATAGTTAGGTAATGAAACGTCTGCAAGAAAACAACCAAGCTCAGAGAGCACCAGGGAACTGTTGTGGCCCACAGGCGGCTAGTGGAGCTGGCAGCAGAGTTGGACAGTGAGGAGGTTGGGGAAGAACATGGGCCAGTCCTGGAGGCTGAGGAAGGCTCAGGTGAGGGTTCTGTGTCAGAGGCAGAGATGGGGCCAAGGCAGGCTGGGAGTTATCAGCTGCCTTCAGAGTCGGACAGCAGTGAGGCGGGGGAGCAGCTGGAGCCGTTTCCCAGCCTGCGCAGAACTGCCAAAAGAAAAGAACAATTGCGAACTAAGGGTTGACATGGGAGTAAGGCCACAGGTGAATGGCCCCTCCCATAGGGATTAAAAGAGGAGCAAAAGGGGAGGGGGCTTTTGCAGGAAACAATTCATTCGTTCGTTTGTTTGTTGCAGCAGTGTGAAGATTTGTTTGTGCATCTCAGAGACTGTGCCAAGCCTTTCCTTGTCAGCACTGTGTTTGAAAATATTTACTTGGCAGCTCTGCAGGCTAGATAAGATCTGTGCTCCTAATTCGACCCTTGAAAGACTGTTTGCCAGGTCTTTGGCTGAATGTGAATGCAAGAAATTCACCTTAATTTAATAAAAGGGGTTTTGCAGGGACAAAAAGTCTGCTTAGTGCTTTTTGGAGAAACCTAAGTCAGAACAGGAACCTACAGTTAACCCAAAGCTGAGGCCTTGTATCAATAGAATATTTGAGCTACAAAATAGTTATTCCCATCAATACAAGGCCTTAGGTAGTCTTCTAATGGGCCTTTTCATTTGAGATTGCAATACCCAGGGGTGGGATTCTACCGGTTCACACCGGTTCAGTAGAACCGGTTGTTACAATTCCCAGTAGTTTGGAGAATCGGTAAAATGGGCCCCTGGCTGGCCCCGCCCCTCTCTGCCCGCTCCTCCATTCCCTGCCCAGTCAGTCCTTATAGCGCATGTGCACTACATCGCTTCCTGCCTTTTCCCACCCACTGCCATCGCTTGCAGCAGCAGCAGCAGCGGCACCAGCTGCCTGCCTTCCACCACCCTGCCTGATCTGGGTGAGGGCTCTGCAAGCCCCGGTCGCCACCACCGTCAGCTGCCCTTGCCTGCCTCGCCTGGCCTGCCTCCCCCAGCCTGCCTGCCTCGCCCAGCCACTGTTGCTGAAGATGTAGATCGGTAAGTGAGACCTCCAAGCAAGCACCGGTCGCCTACCTGCCACCACCAGCCTTGGTTGAGTCCTGATGACTCCTGGACTACCAAGCTGCCCTCGCCACTGGTGCCTGTCTCACCTGGCCACCATCTTCCACTTGCGGCCCACCACACGGTGACTGAGGAGGCAAGCAGCTAGCCCCACCGGTTGCCTCCCTCCTGCCGCCACCATTGCTAGCCCTGGTCAAGTGCCGACTCCTGGGCTGCCCAGCCATCCTCACTACCTGCCTCACCCAGCCACCATCTTTGCTCGGTCACCATCTTCTCCCACCTGCGGCTCACTGAACCATTGTTGCTGCCTGGCCTTCTACCACCGATTGGTGAGTTAGGAGGCAAGCAGCAAGCCCTGCCAGTCACCTACCTCCTTCTGCCACCGCCACCACCACTAGCCCCAGTTGAGTGCTGACTCCTGGGCCGCCCAGCCGTCCTCGCTGCAACAAGCTCCAAAGACTAGTCCCAACCAAGGACCCCAGTGGAGCTGGCCAGCCAACTTCCCTGCCTAATTTTTGGTAAGTTGTGTTTTTTAATTTCTGTATGTATTTCTTTATTTTTTAGTATCTGTTTTGTTTTAATTAATCATAAAAACAAAGCAGATACTAAATAAATAAATAAAAAATATTTTACTATTATTGTTACATGTTGATACTTCTGTTTGTTTCTTCATTCACAAATTCTTATATTTATTTTACAGCAAACATAAGTGTCAACATGTAACAATAACAGTAGTGTAACAAAAAATGTTTCATTTATGTATTTATTTATGTTTTTAGTATCTGTTCTGTTTTTATGATTAATAAAAACAAAACCTATACAAAAAAATATTAAAATTATTTAATTTTTAGTAATTTTTTTAGTATAGGTTGTTTTTATTAATCATAAAAACAGAACAGATACTAAAAACATAAATACATAAATGAAACATTTTTTGTTACACTAGTCACGTGACCACCAAGCCACACCCACAAATTAGGCCACACCCACAGAACCAGTTGTTAAGAAATTTGAATCCCACCCCTGGCAATACCCAATCGTTTTAGGACACAGAGAAAATTCCAACAAACTCAGTGCTGAAATTACTTGAACCCTTCGTTTCATGTCCTTCTGTCAAAGCACAGCTGCAGCCTGATACAGAAGTGATCCTGAAACAAGATTTTCCAAGTCAATAACAGTTCCTTTTTTATATTCTTTGTATTTTGTATGTTTCCTTCCAGTCCATCTTGACCCCTGTCCAGATTAGCCCACAGTTTTCTTGGCCACACTTTTCGGAAATTTGCCTTCTTCCTAGGGCTGCGATAGGGGGACTGGCCCAAGGTCACCCAGCTGGCTTTGTGCCTCAAAGGCAGGACTAGAACTCACGGTCTCCTGGTTGCCCAATGCTGGCCCTCAAACTATTTGTTACTGTAGTTCTCACAACAAATTATATTTATGGGCACACCTGTTATTCTTTCCATCAACACCACAGTGCATCTCAGACACAGCAAGAATTCTGCGAGAACAATTTTGCATTCATTCACAAATTCTTATATTTATTTTACAGCAAACATTTTACTTTCTGTAGATGTCTATAAACTGAAAGGAACATGCTCTCCAAGACATACTGCTTTTAAAGTGGGTTGCTTTTTTTCTGCTCAGCTTAACCAGTGGTTTTTTTTATCACAATGATTATATCCAATTGGCAGACGCATGGGACTCTAAACTAATAATAAATTAAACTGTCTGTTTTGTTCCTCTACCCAGAATATTTTTTCAGTACATATGCTCATTGGTGGGATTCAAATTCCTTAACAACCGGTTCTGTGGGCATGACCTAATTTGTAGGTGTGGCTTAGTGATCATGTGACTGGGTGGGCATGGCTTGCTGACTGGGCATGGCTAGGTGGTCATATGACTGGGTGGGTGTGGACTTTCCTGTGCCACCTGTTCCTGTTCTTCTACTTCTTCCTGTGCCTGTTCTTCGTGGTTTACTTATTTCATCTTTCGGGATTATTTGGGTGTCAATAATAATATCATTGTTGGATTCCTGTTCCAGTTTATCCCACCCAACGTGCTCAAGAAATTTTGCACTAGCACTACAATAAACATGAGCTGTGCCTTGATCCCAAAATCTAAATGATCTATGGTTGGCCTCATAACCTACAAAAAATAACTTCTTAGCTCTATGTTGCCCTTTCATTCTTACTTGTGAGGGAATATGCACCCATGCTGCTGCTCCAAATGTGTGTAGGTAACTTAAATTTGGTTTTCTGCCATGCCAGCGAGTGAATGGCAATTCACCAGTTGTTGTGTTAACTACATTGTTTAACATTGTTTAACTACAGTTTTAGGATTCTTTTAAAGATACAGTATTAAAAGGTCTATCCTAGTTTATATATTTCCAACCCAAATAACTGTTAGGTGACTTACATTCCTAACAGCCACCACAGCTCTTAGCTATATAACTAAGAGATATAACTAAGAGGCAACAATCCCTATATCCTAAACAGATATGCTCCATATTTTGAGTGACATTGACTGACATATGGATGAGTAGCAGAAAAATGTAGCAGATGGGTGGACATCCAGATATTTTAGAATTCTACCTTCTACCAGGATGAACAATGATGAATGATGATGGGAGATGTAATCCAACACTTGAAGGACCACAACTGCCTGTCACAACTGCATCATATAAAAACCAGATATTGGTAACCGGTTGCAAGAGAAAAGGTTCAGTGAACCAGCCCTAACTGATCAGCCTCCTTCAACATTGAGATTCAGTTTGGAAGATGAAAAGTTGTTGCTGGACAGGCTAAATCATATCATACTTTTCTTCCAAATGTACCAGACCACCATTTTGGAACACAGTGTGATGACCTGGGGCACGGCACAGAAGTAACACAGGCATCTGGCAGTTGAAACCGCCCCTTTATTGCTCCAAACTTCCCCAAACGCTCCCACATTTCTGGCAAGTCCCAGAGCAAAGTGATCACACACACACACACCCTAGAGGTGGTATTCAGCAGATTCTGACCAGTTCTGGAGAACCGGTAGTGGAAATTTTGAGTATTTCGGAGAACCGGCAAATACCACCTCTGACTGGAGATTTTGCAGTATCCTTCTCCTGCCACGCCCACCAAGCCATGCCCACAGAACTGGTCATAAAAAAATTTGAATCCCACCACTGACACATACCCCTCAAGCAGCCTCTGGCTGCAAATAGTCCAGCTGAATGCTGTGAGCACCACGGCTGCAAATCAAGAAATCCAGAAATGCAAGGAATCCAGGAAAGTTCAAACGTCTGCTCCTCCCCATTTTCCTCCAAAGCTAACAAAGCAGCCCCCTCGATCGCCATTGACTCAAATTCTGGCTTGCCTTTCTCCAGATTCAGGCTCCCATGGGGGCATGACACACATAATCCATATTTGGCTTCGGAGGAAAACGGGGAGGCGCAGGCCCAGTCAACCCAGGGCCTTTTAGGATTGGGACGGCTTGTAGGCAGGGAGGAAGAGGGGCAGGATGACCAAGAGAGGCTCAGCAGTGAACATGAGACAGAGCTCAGGCGATGATCAAGGACCACACCCTCCTGATCCTCAAGCACGGAGAGTGGAGAGAGGGCAAGAACATTGTAGATTGACCCTACTCAGGAGTGCCCCGCCCCTCTTCACAAGGCACACCTGGGGACTGAGAGTTAATGAGCCATTGTGGGGAGGGACATTTCTCGGGAATAAACGCTGAATTCCTGGAGTGTTAATTGCTGATGTTTGAACTTTCCTGGATTCCTTGCATTCTTTCTGGATTTCTTGCTTTGCAGCTGTGGTGCTCACAGCATTCGGTTGGACTATTTGCAGCCAGAGTCTGCTTGAGAGGTGTGTGTGTGTGTGTGTGTGTGTGTATGTGTGTGTGTGATCACTTTGCTCTGGGACTTGCCAGAAATGTGGGAGCATTTTGGGAAATTTGCAGCAATAAAGAGGCGGTTTGAACTGCCAGCTGCCTGTGTTACCTCTGTGCTGTGCCCCAGGTCATCACATTATCATTTTCCCATAGTCATTCAATCTCTCCTCCTTTTTCCACATTGCCTTTTACCTTCTTTTGCTCTCGTATTTACTTGTCCTTTTAGATGATTCCCTAAGCTTTACAGTTTCTAAATAAGGGAGGTATTTGCAAGCCTACTGTTCTGATTACATTCAGAAACCTTATCCATGGGGACCCTAGATATTTAGAGAATATGGGTCAATGGAGGGATTAGATGCTGAGGACAGGGCTCCTGGCTCTTCTACAACTCTGACAGGTAGGCCATCCATTACCGAGAATCAGCTGTTCCAGGTATCCTATTGCAAAGATTTAGAATATCAAGAAGCTTAGCTGTATAAAAAGAAAGATTATAATTTTTGTTTCAGTTTATCGTGCTAGGCAATATTTAAGATGATTCCTCCAGAAGAACAGAAAGTCCTGCCTGATGATGAAAACACCCCCCAGAAACGGGCTGACAAGCTGTGGGCATTTTTTGGCAAGGGAGATGCTGGTAAATTTGCCTTTTATCACCTACCCCTACTACTTGTTACTAGTTATAGAACTTTACATATAACAATCTACATATAAAACAATCCATACATGTTCTGTAATAGCTTACTTTGGAGGAAGAATTTTGACTATTTTGTCTTTGTAACCTGAGAGAGTGATAGCCCAAAGCCACTCAGTGGTTGAAGGGTAGACAAGAACCCGTCTTCTTCTCATAATCCAACACTTTTGATGGAAGCAGGAGTAGGCGGCCTCTTTGAGTACCTGTTTTCAGTAACAAGGAGTGCCTTTGATGAATGTTTCTAGTAACAAGCAAATTTCCCATGTGGAATGTGGATTCTGACCAGAACTGGTTCAGGCCAGCTAGAAGCAATGTCTGTGCAAAAGGTTAAACTCAAATGACCTGACAATTCATTATATTGTGGCAAACACACCTCTTGAATATGCAATTAGGCATTAACAAGTAAGAATATTACGGGATGATATGAACTGCTACATATAAAGTTACTGAGCATGCTCTCTTAGATGCTTGATGACTCAAATTATTTTGGCCAATTGAAGAACACATTACAAACCCAGTATGTTTGAACTGCATATAAAGTGATCTTTTTCCCAAAGCACCTGAGGGCAGGACAAGAAGCAATGGGTGGAAACTTATCAAGGAGAGAAGCAACTTAGAACTAAGGAGAAATTTGCTGAAAGTTAGAACAATTAATCAATGGAACAACTTGCCTCCAGAAGTTGTGAATGCTCCAACACTGGAAGTTTTAAAAAAGATGTTGGATAACCATTTGTCTGAAGTGGTGTAGGGTTTCCTGCCTAGGCAGAGGGTTGGATTAGAAGACCTCCAAGGTCTCTTCCAACTCATTCTATTCTATTCTATTCCTTTTTAAGGGTCTCTCAACCTTGTATCTGTGGGAGGGTCTAGGACTTTTCCTCTCCTACCCTTGGCTGCGCCTCCTTCTCCGCCAGTGTTCCTCCTCGGGCGATTCTCTGATTTTTCTCCTTGGCTGACATGCCCCCGCCCATTAGCCCTGGGCAATGGGCCACAGACCCTCCGTCCTATGCGCTTCGGCGCTGCCGATTCGCTGAAGCATGGTTCGTCCTGGATTTTTTGCCTCCCAGGACAGTTAGCCGCCAACCATTCGACTAGCTGCCAATGCCAGCAGCCATAAGCCATGGTGCGATCTTGGTGGTGAGGTTTGGGGAAGGAGCTGCAGCCAAATGGCTTTAGGAAAGCCAAACGCTTTTTAGGAGAAGGGGAGGGGGTAAAGAAGGGAAGGGCGGGTTAGTATGCCAGCTTCATCCAAGGGGGGAAGAGGGAGAGAAAGAGAAGAAAAGAAAGAAAAAGAGAAAGAATCAAAAAGAGGGAGGGGAGGGAAGTGAAAGTGAATGAGATATGGATGGAGGGAGGGAAAAAGGAAGAAGGAAGGACCACAAACACCTGGCAGCTTCAGAGGATACTTTGAAACAGCACAGCAATCCAGGGCTTGTCTCTCAGCAACGGAGATTCGAGGAAGCCAGATTCACTTAGCGACTGTGTGACTCACTTAAGAACTGTAACTACTTGCTTAACAACGGTGGCAAGACCAGCCGTAAGCAGGGGTGGGTTTCTACCAGTTCTGTCCACCTCTGTAGAACCGGTAGCTCTGAAGAGCAGCAGACATAGAACTGGTTCTATGTCTGCTGATGTTTTTGCCCACCCACCCACCTGGGCTCTTACCTGACCTTTATTTCCTGATTTTTCAACTTCAGCTGCCGTGCGAGGCACAGCTGCAGTTAAAAAAGCAGGAAAAAAGGGCTTTTTCAAAGGCTGCTTCTCTGCACACAGCATGATGACGATTTACAGGCGGGCGCGCAGCGTGCAGGGAAGCACATCGTAAATCACCGAACCTCATAAATCACTGAACTGATAGTTAACCCTGTTGTATCCCACCCCTGGCCGTAAGGTGGGTGAAAGCTCACTGAACAGCTGTCTCGCTTTGCAACGGAGATTCGGGGAAGCCGGATTAACTTAGCGACTGTGTGACTCACTTAAGAACTGCAACTACTCACTTAACAATGGTGGCAAGAGTAATCGTAAGGTAGGTGAAAGCTCTTGCTTAGCAACCAAAATTTTGGGCTCAATTGTTGTCGTAAGTCGAGGACTATCTCTACCTTCCTCTGCATGGCAGTCTTGCCTAGTAAACTCGTTCCCTTTTCTGGGAATTTCTCCTCTGTGTTAGAGGCACCAAAATAACCCAGCTGACATAAAGTTCTCCTGCTGGAGCTGGGGGTTGAACTACATGACCTCCGAGGTCCCTTCCAGCCCTGGATTGCTGTGCTGCTTCAAAGTATCCTCTGAAGCTGCCAGGTGTTTGTGGTCCTTCCTTCCTCTCCTTTTTCCCTCCCTCCCTCCACATCTCGTTCACTTTCCCTTCCCTCCCTCTTTTTGTTTTCTTTGTCTTTTTGTTTTCTTTCTCTCCCTCTTTCCCCCTTGGATGAAGCTGGCGTACTTACACCCCCCCCCCTTCCTTCTCCTAAAAAGCATTTGGCTTTCCTAAAGCCATTTGGCTGCAGCCCCTCCCCCAAATCCCACCACCAAGATTGCATCATGGCTTATGGCTGCCAGCATTGGCAGCTAGCTGATTGGTTGGCAGCTAACTGTCCTGGGTGGCGAAAAACCCAAGACGAACCATGCTTCGGTGAATCGGCAGCACCGAAGCGCGTGGGATGGAGGGGCTGTGGCCCATTGTCCAGGGTTAATGGGTGGGGCATGTCAGTCGAGGAGAAAAGTCAGAGGAGAATCGCCCGAGGAGGAACACTGGTGGAGGAGGCGCGGCCAAGGGTACGAGAAGAAAATAGTTCCACTGTGGGAGACCTCTCTCTCACACCTTGTCATAAATTTCCAGGGTTGTGCAATAAAAGCCTATTCTGGCCTATCTGGAAATTATGGATAGTCAAGAATTAACTCTCATATTATGTAACCACTTGGTCTCTTAACCATGGTTAAACCACAGTTAAGCATATAAATTTAATAAATATAGCAACAAATTAGGTGGTTTCATGCAATTCACTACTCCAACTCAAAGAAATCACATTATAATCAGATGTAATGTATGAATCCAATGCGTATAATTTTAGTCAGATTAGTCTGAACTGAATTCACCATTGATTCTTTCCAAAAATATTTAGGGAAGTAGCTCCAACCATTTTTAAAATTAGGCCTACTTCTGAGTTGCATGTAATATTTGCATAACATGGAATGGAAAGGGGTGGGGAGAGGAAAGAGTTCTCCATCCTGAAAGCTTAACTATTTTTATACCTTTTCCCAAGATTACACAGCCTTTCTCCAAGACAGCAACCATTATCAGAGCTATGATACTGGTATCTGGGCTGCAGGACTAGTAGATACCTAGCAGGACAGAGGCAGACATGGCAGCAAAGAGATGCTTTGCTAACATCTAGTGGCTGCCTGAAATTTTGCAGCCAAGATATGGTAGCTCTATTGTAGTTTCATAATCACAAATGTTCACAAATACAGGAATGTTTGTAACATCCATTCCAAGTGATGTCGTCAAAATCTTCCAAACTTTTCTGTTGCACATTCAGCTATCTCTTGTTCTGTACTGATTTAAAATCCAGGATCTATTTTTTAAAAATAGGAAACAGTCTGGGTTTAAAAGCATTTAAATAATTTGTATTATGTATCTCTTAATCACTACTTGTTACCAATTAACCCTCATTAATTCCTTCCTTATATTGGGGGGGGGGGGGGGGGTTTATAGCAATAGCAGTTAGACTTATATACTGCTTCACAGCCCTAAGCTGTTTACAGTCAGTATATTGCCCCCAACAATCTGGGTCCTCATTTTACCCACCTCGGAAGGATGAGTCAACCTTGAGCCTGGTGAGATTTGAACTGCCAAATTGCAGGCAGTTGGCAGTCAGTAGAAGTAGCCTACACTACTGCATTCTAACCACTGCACTACTGCGGCTCATGAACCTGTAGTCCTTTTAATTCGGGGTGGGAAGCGAGCACCTTCACCACTAGGCCATTACCCCACTCCCTTCCTTTTATTTTATGCTACCTAAATAATCATTTAACTGTACGCATTGGTTTTGTTTTTGCAGACAAAATTGCTGAAAAGGAGTTCATTGAGGGAGTGATGAAGAATGATGCAATAATGGGCCTCATCCAGTATACCCCCAAGGAAAATAAATAAGGGCTTCCAAGTTGGACAGGAAGCAAAAAGGCAGGGATGTGAAAAGTGGCATGTAATGAACAGGCAGGGGGGAATTCAATATGTCTCTATTTGTATATCATATGAAACACAAAATACAACTCCAAAGCAGTGTTCCTTTCCCCCCCCTCCTAGTACCATTACTTGTTCTGTTAGCAGTAGCAGTCAACCCATATTTAGTGTTGCGATTTTCTAGAATTCTTCAAAGAAGGATGGAAAGCAGTTTTGGAAACTGTGACCCCGAGTTGTATTATTTGTAGAAAGAAAGAAAATAGCAATATGATAAACTGCAGTACTGAGATCTCTTTATTCCAGAAATCACCTGAAAAGTCCAGTACCTATGGGGTCCTTGGTGCTGTCTGAGGTTGGTCTTCTCGCAGACATTTCATTACCAAACTAGGTAACATCATCAGTGGTAGAAGGGAGTGGGATTTGCAAATGTTCAATCATGAGTTACAAATATTCTATTAGTCCACTATCTCCTAACCTATTTTAAAACTCAAATACAGCAAGTGGAACGCTTCCTTTCTGTAATACATAAATGGCATTCATAATTTAAGGATCCCAGGTCTTAACTTGCTGCATACTGGTGCTCCAGTCTCCATTTCCTGTGACTTCAGAGCCCACACTTACCAATGAAGTCCTTAGCTGCCATTTTTCAAACAGCAAACATAGAAGCATAAAGGCACATCATATTGGAGGGTTCTTGGTGTCTCATCAATTAATTATTCCTAAGATATTTTATAAGGAAAGAATGTCAGTTGAAATCATATACAGGTAGACCTCAACTTACAATTCATTTAGCAAGCATTCAGAGTTTCAATGGCACTGAAAAAAGTGACCTGACAGGTCCTTGCACTCACAACCATCACATCCCCAGGATCACGCAATCAAAATTTGGACACACATGGCAACCAGCATGTACTTATATGACAGCTGCAGTATCTTGAGGCTACGTGATCACCATTTGGAACCTTCCCAGCTGCAAAGTCAATGAGGGAAGCTAGATTCACTTAATGACTGTGTGATTAATTGCGGTGATTCACATAACAACTGTAGCAAAAAAAAAGGTCATAAAATGAGCGTGACTACCTTAACAATCATTTTACTTAGCAATGGCAATTCTGGCCCCAGTTGTGGTAGTTAAGTCAAGAACTACCTTCAAAACCAGATCACATTGATCCACCCTTAAATGCTACCCCCTCCCAACTTAAAGATGCTGACAGCTAAGTTGCAAAACATGTTTCCTCAAAAGTAGCATTCAGACCAATGGGACTCACCTTCTACTAATTCCTGATATATTTCTTTTGATTGATATTTCTACATGTGTGAGATTTATCAGCATAGGCAATCTTCTCAGCTAAATATTTTCTTTTCCTCTTCCTTCCAAACGGTGCATTTAAAACATGCATTGACAATCTTTCCTCCAGCTTTATTTAGCAGAACAGGTAGCCTGGATATCCCCATCATCCTGGAGATATTTATGCATTTCTGTTTCTTCCCTTCATTTCTCACATTTTCATTATTTCTTGTGTATTTAAGAAATGGGTTACTTTTCAGGGGTGATGTAATAAAATAGGGCACATTCAAAGTTGATGTGTTTTTCAATAAAGGCTGCTGAGTTGAAAGGAATATTCACCAAGGAGAATATTCACAAATCAACTGACAGTGGATATTTGGTAGCTGCAAGGTATCTCAACAGTGGGCTGCGTATCAGAATATTTAATAGTGCTGCACCAAGCTCACTTCTAAGGAACACCACAAATTATTTTTATAGAATCATGCCATAAGCTCAATAAAATTGTATGATGACTTCTTAGGACAGCTTACCTCAACTGAGTGCCCTCTGGATATCTTGGACCGCATCCCATCCTCTATGAAAGGGCTGGCTGAAGACAAAGGGCTCCTAGTACCAAACATGTGGAAAACAGCCAGTTGAGGAAAAAATGACTTGGAGCAATGTTATCCAACCTTGGCAACTTTAAGACATGTTGACTTCAGTTCCAAGAATTCCCCAGCCAGCACGTCATGCCCATGAGTGGCTGGGGAATTCTAGGAGTTGAAATCCACAAGTCTTAATGTTGCCAAGGTTGGACACCCCTTAGAGCTTTTCTCCACTTTAATCTCACCGTGGCACAAATGTAACACAGTAGTGCTTTTTTCTGCTGTGACCTGAGGACATTGCCCCATCCTCATCCCTAGCCCATGATTGAGACAACTCTGCTTAGCTGTCCTGGTATTAAGACACTACGGGTAGTCCTCAATGTACAACAGTTCATTTAGTGACCATTCAAGGTTAAAACAGCGGTGAAAAGTGACTTATGACCATTTTTCACTCTTATGACTGTTGCAGCATCCCTATGGTCATGTGATTTACATTTGGATGCTTGACAACTGACTCACATTTATGATGGTTGCAGTGTCCTGGGGTAATGTGATTCCCTTTTGCGACCTTCTGACAAGCAAACTCAATGGGGAAGCCAGTTCATTTAACAGCTGTGTGACTAAACTGCCATGATTTACTTAACAAATTTGGCAAGAAAAGTCATAAAATGGGGCAAAACTCACTTAACAAATTTCTCACTTAGCAACATAAATTCTGGGCTCAATTGTAGTCGTAAGTCAAGGATTACCTGTATTCCCCCACCCACCCACCTTCCAACATTGTCCAAAAACAGCATCAAGGGGATAAAATCTGTCAGGATCTATCACATCTTGTGGAGGGCAGCCAGCAAGCTGTGTTGATTGCAAACAGAGGTTGGATGGGCCAACATGGAAAGACCTAATGCAACTTTTTTTCAGTTGCAACTGCAGGCATCTGGACATGTTTCCTCAGAACATAAACATCCATTTTGATGGGAGGGGGGGGGGGGAGCTCACCCAGCTTGGGAGCATCTCCACTTTAAACTGGGCTATCCAGTGAGCCCAAATCACCACAAATGGTGTCATACCCCTGCTGGAGTCTGACTCAGAGGGAGAGATGGAACAGCTGACAGGGAGTGGGAGTGTGGCTCCTGTGGTTGTGGAGGAAACTGGGGAAGGGTACAGGCTGGATGGGCATTCAGAGGACGACCCAGGCCCATCCCCTCTTCATCCTAGGGCACGCAGGGAGGAGCGGATAAGGGAGAGACATGAGTGGTGTGGTCTATGGGGAGGAAGGGGCCCTGATCCCCTTGATGGGCTGCAGCTGGGAGGACTGGTTAAAAGGACAAACTGTGCATGGCAAAGTTGCTGGAAGTAAAGTGTGCATTCTTGTCTGAGCTTATCTGTGTTTTGGCTTCTTCCCAACTGGTTGCTGCCTTATCTGGTAGAATTCTGCAATTAATCATCCTTGCCTGCTGTAGCAATTCCTTCAGTGTGGTGTGTTGGGTTTTTTATTTTGAATTAACTTTACTTTGGGTGCGGACTGCATTTACTCCCTCAGTAAACTGTTTTAAGAATTTGATATCCTGCCTAGGATAATTGGACATTGGGGCCAAGTTGGAGGCATTAAAGGGATTTTCTTCTATTTTTGTGACTTGGTTATTTTTGTGTCACACCCCGGGTCATCACAAATGGATTATTGCTTCCATTCTTCATCTGCAATGACACATAATACCTCAACATTCTGCCTCTCCTTGCTTTAAATGCCATTTGGTCACACTCAAATATCCTTGATCCCTCAAGAATATTACTATCCCAGGTACCACTGCATCACTCACACATCCAATCTGAGTTTGATCTACCATAGCAACATCAGAAGCCACCAAAATTTAGCAGGTAAAGCTTTTCAAGATCTAAAGGATAGTTTTGCCTTTTTACCAGCTTAGTTTTATGTTTTAAATTTTATGTCACATAGTATGCCCTATTTTAATTGTGACGCTTCTGACAAATAAACAAACCAGCTTAGCTTATGGTTGTCTCCTTGCAGTTACAAATTCCAGATCTGGGCAGGGTTTTTTTGGTTTCTTCCAGCTAAAGGATCTAGAATGAAGTAAAACTTTCAATATAGGGAGCCAGCCCCTTTTATTTTCCTTCTCCCTTTGCCCTTGAAGCTATTAAAGGCACCAAGCTTATGCAGTTTGCTAACCTAATTTGGGCCTTTCCAAGGCTTTATGTTGTCCTCACACAAGGAAGATTTTGTAGGTAAGGCAGGGTTTATGTAAGCAGGCTTGTCCCATCTTCCTCCAATGAATTTTAAACGTAAGCAAGTTAAGAGTTGATCTGCACTAATCTGCCTGTGCGTAGTAAATATGGTTGTAAGGAGCTTGTTGTGGTCAAGACAAGGTTGAGAGAAAAGGTGTAGCCAATCCTTTCCACTCTGAAATTCCACCTACCAGCCTCTTCCTCCATCTTGCATATGCCCAAAGTTTACGAATAACAGCTCTTAAAAATGACAAAGAATTACCGTAATACAACAAAACTTCCTTTTCATTCCTTAGTTTGACCGCAAGCACCACCTGGTGGAAAGATTAAAAATGGAATGCAAGCAGTTGCCCTAGAAGAGAGCGCAAACAATGGGTGTTTCATTTTCAAAATATGGCAAAGAAGATTCAAATCTACCCAGAGCTCATTTCAATTTATTTCATCCTTTGTGGTCTCAAAGTTACATGAATGAATTCTAGGTGCACGCTCCAGGTTCAAAACACCTTCCACTGAAATTGAGTTAAACCTATGGAAAACAGCAATTAAAAATCTTGAATTGGGACTGGAGAGGAATATCTTCAACTGCCACCCAATCGTGAAACTCATTAGGGGATCTTGGGTAAGCATAACCTACTTTGCAAGGTTAGTAGATCAGGGGTGGGCAACTATGCCTCATTTATGACCTGTGGACAATTCCCAGAATTCCGGAACCAGCCATGCACAGGAATTTGATTTTTTAAATTCATTTTATAGTTTTAAATGTGGTTTTTATGTTCCGTAAGCCACCTTGAGTCACCATGAGTGAATAGGCGGCAACATAAATTTAATAAATAAATAAATAGTAAATCAAAGCAGTTTTAGCCTTCCTGTGGAGTCGATTTCCTGGTCTGATCCATCTAATGGGGTTGACAGAAATGCAACCCTGCAAGGCAAAGAATTCCAACCCCTAATTTATACTCATAGTATTTTTATGGTCTCTCAACATTCCCTCCCTCCCTAGCTATCAAGTGGGACTATTGCTCTGAACATGCATAGTAGGACAGACGTATATGTGCATGCACATCCATGTGTAGCTGAGACCTATGTAGAGAAGGGTAAGCAAAGTTTGTATTACTTTCTAATGTTTTCTACCTACACTAGTAGGAGCCAATGCAGGGCAGCTGATACTGCTGGATTCTGACTCAGGCCTAAGCCTCACCTTGCACACCCATCATCAAGGGAGGCTGGGCCACTTAAAACTTAGGCCCCAGATGATGCAACAGAAATGGACTCATTTGGCTAAGGATCTTTTGGTGTTTCTAACTGCTTTCTGGATTCAGGATTTGTGGGAGAAACAATACTGAATATTCCAAAACAGCAGCAAGCAGGTTCTTAAGAAATGTAATTTTCCCCCATTGTTTTACTGCAGGGTAGAAAGCCTACACCTACTTCAAAATGCATAATATTGGACTAAACAGGTACACACACACAACATGCAGCACTGCCCTCTGCTGGCCTCTGATAAGTTCAACAATCATGGTCTCAATGCAAGTGCTTCTTCAGAAAAAGGTAGAGATATCCACATTTACAATTACAGAACCACTGGTATTTTCCCCTACCTTTTAGGCCTATCTAGGTTGGAGGACACAACACACAGCTTGAACTTTTGGGAACTCTGAACTTCTGTGGCTGCTGAACCAGTTAAGTTTTCCAGCTGTTTTGAAATGGGAACTATGCAGAACACAAAAAGACCATTAAAAAAAACAAGTCTCACCATACAACTCCCCCAACTTTGCATCACCTTTTCTACATCACTTCTGGTTTCCATCCCCCAAATCTAAAAAAAAAGGGGGGGGGGGAATCTCATATGCTCAGTTTAAAATGTAACCATCCATTATCACTCTTTGTGTGAAAAGCATTTTCTATTGTGTCTTAGGTGGTCCAGTTTTCATTGGGTGATCTGCATTTGACTGAGAAAAACTTTTTTCAAAACCTAACATTATGGATCAATGGCTTCTGCTTTGGGACCATTTTAGAGGCCTATTTCTGGCCCTGCACTGCAATGTCCCTTTGGAGAAGCATTGCAAACTAGGTGGCAAAAATAACTTTCACTGTTATACATCAGCATAAACTGTGGTGAGAAAATTTATTTTGATTTCTTGATATGCTTCGCTAGTTCCCATGCAGATGAGCCTGATCAAGGGAACAGTGTTCCTCAAGCTGGAAAGGAACCCAGCTTGAATTGGCAAGGTACTCATTAACAACACTTAAGCATGATGAACAAACTTCTCTGTAGTTACAGGACGACTGTTCACTTGAAGAGGTCCATGGACAAATCAGGAATCACCTCAACGTTCTTGACACAACTGAAGTCAAATAAATCCCTACATGGACTGTATGAATTCTCAATGAGAAACATCAACTATCAATTTGATACTGATGGAAAAAAATCCCTACTCCTTCTACTCTTGATACATGAAGTTATTTGTTAATTATTTATGCCACCCATCTCACTGTTGAAGTGATTCTTCATTGTAGATCAGGGGTGTCCAACCTTGGCAACTTTAAGACTTGTGGACTTCAACTCCCAGAATTCCTCAGCCAGCAAAGCTGGCTGAGGAATTCTGGGAGTTG